ACACACACACACACACACACACACACACATATACACACACACAAATATATTTTAATCAAAGACATTCCTCTAATGGCAAAGCTGAATTTTCATGCAAAAATGTAAGGGGGTCTGAATACTTTCCGTACCCACTGTATGTATGTATATATATATATATATATACAAACTGTATATATTAAATTGTAATAATATTTCACAATATTCTTATATAAATGTAGCCATGGTAAGTCTTATTTTAAAAACATTAAGAAAAATTACTGTCCCCAAAACTGAACAGTATTTAGTTGGATGTTATTTGGTGATGAATTTGGTGAAGACACGATGGATAAGTTTCTAAATGGTAATTAGAAACAATAGTTAAAGGTGCCAGTAATTTTAATTTGCTATTTGAGCAGTGAATTTCAGTGTGAGAGTTTGAAGTCCTCTTTTAACTTCTCTTTTTGAAGAGACAAATTCATCATGTGAAGCTGAGATGTGACCGCAGCTGTTGAGGTCACTACAGACGGCCAAGAAATCAAATGGTTGTCAACACTAATAATTGGCAACAAGAACAATAGCCTCAGATCCCTCTATAAAGGTGCCATTGCAAATCTGCAATCATGTTGTAAATCTCTAATCTAACATAAAATGTCAGTTTCAACCGTGGAGTTTCAACAATGTTTCACATCAGAGCAGATATTACTTGTTGTCAAATTGTAATTTATTTATTTATTTTCTTTCCAGGGTTTCACCTCTGCAGAAGTCTGAGGTGGTTGAGATGGTGAAAAAACAGGTGAAAGTGATCACACTGGCCATTGGCGATGGAGCCAACGATGTGGGCATGATCCAGACCGCCCATGTGGGTGTTGGCATCTCTGGCAATGAAGGACTGCAGGCTGCCAACTCATCAGACTACTCTATTGCACAGGTGAGAAACTATCAAATTGCACATGCCTGAAGGAAGAAAGAATAAGTTAGCTAAATTGTGAGTAAATTAAATAATTAAATTTATCAATTATATTGACATAGTGAAATTTAAATTAATGAAAAATTATGCATTATTATTAAAATAAAATTACACCAAATAAAATGTGTGATCTGCTTCTAAACCTGAAGCACATTATCAGTTCCCAATGTAAACTAACACTTTTGTCTTGTGTCACTACAGTGTGACTCCCAGAAAATAAATCTGGTTCTAGATTATGTATCTAGGGTGAAGGGTTAAAACCTGTGGCTCATAGATTCTGCAGTCTGAGATAGTGAAACGGGTCGGTCAGGTCAATTTACATAGCTTGAGTGTTCACTTACTCAAACCCCTGCTGATGGTGAAACGGGACCTGTCCCTCTTATGTAAACTTAATTAAGAAGATGTTTTGTAGTTCACAGATTTTGATACAGCATAATCTTTATTGTTCGTTTAACAAAAGAAGAGCTCAAGTGTCGCTAATTGCTGTCAACATCGCTCTCCATCTCTGTCTCAGTTTCATTTCACGTTTTGTGCATTTCGTGGAAACATCCCTCTTCACACTTGTTTTTCTATACTGCCCCGAGCCATCTGTTCACTGGCCTCATGCATCGGATTACCCAAGAAAGCATCTTGTCTTTTCTTAAGTGCCCTCATCGTATTGTAGGTAGAGGCAGGTGGAGGTGGTAGGGAATGCGGGCAGGTTCATAGAAAGTCGCCCAAACTGCCTTCCAGCAAAACGGCTCGTATGATATGTGCTGGATCAGACGGCAAACTTCAATGTGCAGTACCGGCAGCTAGTATGCATTCATCATCCTGAACCAGTGTCAGCTTAATATCCACTATAAGGCTTTTCACAATGCTGCTTCTCATCAACTGTTAAAGGTGTCATATGATGTTTCTAAAAAGAACATTATTTTGTGTATTTGGTGTAATGCAATGTGTTTATGCGGTTTAAGGTTAAAAAAACATTATTTTTCACATACTGTACATTATTGTTTCAGCACTCCAAAGAGAAAGGAAAAATTTAAATCGCATCATATGACCCCTTTAAACTAGACGAAAATGTTATACATGCTGTATGACGTCATATATTTGTATTAAATTAACTACAATTCTATAATATGTAACTCATATATATATATATATAACTCTTATTATGTATATATTCTTCTCCAGGTATATATAATTCTTTCCAGGTAGGTTTCTTGAAGCATCTTGGAGACGTTGCCACAGTTCTTCTGGATTGAGTCTGTCTCAGTTTGTTCTGTTTCTTCATGTCATTCCAGACAGACTGATGATGGTGAGATCAGATCTCTGTGTGGAGCACTGACTCCTTGTGCAAACAAAAATCTCACTGCATTATTACAATTAATGGCAAAATGAATGTTTAGAAATGTAATCTGATATTTCCTGCTGACACACTACAGCAACAGATAGAAATAACTGACTTGAAACCATTTTTAGCTGGTGAAAATACTTGTGTTCTAATCATTTTGGTCACCACTGTAATTATACAATATATAATAAATATATTGGGATATGTAGAGTAATATTTATATGCATTTTATGTTAATCTGATATACTGTCATGAAGGCCTTACAAGCTGTCCGAATTTAGTCTTTTTTGGTTTATATAGACATATCAACAACTGCACCAAATTGCTTATTTTTGCTCAATTTGGGCCTTTGATTTAAACTGAGGGTTTTTTTCCTCCTGAAATATGAGCTCCATATTCTCCATAAAAGCCATTAAAGCTTGATGTATCAAATTTGATACTCACCAAATTTTGTTTTGTCTAAAAGTTTAATAAACTGTTCCATTCCATCAGGCTTTACAGGGCTAAAGCACATCCATATAATATATAATATTAAATGATGGTATATTAGTTATAGTTGTTAATAATTATATATTTAATTCTAAATTAGTATGTTACTGTTGGTAGCAGATCTTATGGTATGGCGTATTGCGTGTCTATATATCTGACCCATGTGCTGTCCAAGTGTGAAATTAATTTAAAGCTAATCTCACAACAGGGCTCTCACAGAATGCAAGTGTTAATTTGTGTTAAACCCAGGGGTCTTTAGTTTTGTTTGGGGCCTGTTTTGAAGATGTGATTAAGTTGTTTACATGAAGGGATAAATCAGTGTGAGCTGGAATGCTGCTGTGCTTCAGCCTCACACTAGGTCCTCCACAGATCGGCAGAGGCTCCATATCCAGACTCCACTGTAGTCTGTCTGTCATCAACTTGCTCTCCTCGCATCCAGAGGTCAAACAGCCCCTGAGCCCCTCAAAGGCACTCCGTACCCCTTACATCCCACCCTGCTGTTCCTGCCTTCATAGAAATGACTGGCTGTTTGTTTTAGAGGAATGATGTTTATAACACTGTCACATTCAGGATGCTCTTTAGGAAATAAAACATGGCATCCCTAAATCATCATTTGATTGTGTTTACATATAACACATATTACTTGTTTACACTGTTATGTCACTAATCTTGAGCACCTGTACAAGTTTGGCTGTTTGCATATTGTATTTATTTCAGCGGCCATATAAATGGGTTACAGTGAAACAAACAAACTTGTGTCTGTTATGCATTGTAACCAATAACATGTAAGGTCACGTTGGTTGTTTTCCGTTAGTTTAATTTCATAAACTGTTTAAAGAAAACAATCCATAGATTTATCTCTGGTATCCTGATTTTGATCTGCACGTAAACACCTTCAGCATTTTGGGGCTTATTTAGTGAGCAAAGCGCATCTCTGTTTACATTTTAATGTCTAAGCCAGACGAAAACACAATTTTATGAATTATCAGCGAATTGTTGTGCATGTGAAATCGCTAAGTGTTCACTCTGTCCTCCTAAGTGTTGTAAATCAGAAGTAGAGTTTTGGTGCTGAGCCTGTTTTTGGTGTGTAGTGTGCTGAACTCAGCAGAAAATATGGTGAAAATGTTTAGTAAATATATTTATCTACTCAAACTTTTGCAATATACGTGTATGAAGCCACATAATAAATTGGAGTGAACTACTCATCGGCTGTTTGAAAAAAGACATCTGTCTGACTTGATGAAAGTTAAACACACAGTGACAGCAACACAAACAGAATTTTATATTAAGTAAATCTGACACAATCCAGATGATTTAAGCAGTTTATATCTACAGTTTGGGTGTTGGGTGAGTAGATTAAGTACCATTTAGATCTAAATCATATTTTATGACAATCAGGTTTTAACTAATTCTTAGTGGCCAGCTGATAAACCTGATAAACTTTTCATAATATAATTTATCAGTTATTAAAAGCCAAACTTAATGTGTTAACCAAAAAATTACTTTATTGTTATTGCACAGCTGCAAAAGAAATTCTCCCTTCCTCTGCTTTTCAACAAAATAAGACTAGATAAATATCTGGAATTCACAGGAATATAGGTGAGACTGTTTGTCTCCCTGCAACTCCAGGCTTCCTGTTGCCCAGCATGGATAAGAATGTCTCTTTATTTTCAAATCCAAAACTGCTTTCTGTGTTGGCTGGGGAACTGTAGATCTTGTGTAAACGATAGGCCTTAATGAACTTATCTCTGTCCTCCCTTCTCTCTCACAGTTCAAGTACTTGAAGAATCTTCTGTTGGTTCACGGCGCTTGGAATTACAACCGTGTTGCCAAGTGCATCCTGTATTGCTTCTACAAGAACATTGTGCTTTACATTATTGAGGTAAGAAAGTCTACGCACTTTAATGTCTTATCAAACTCAGATGACAGAGCATCAAGCCTTTTATTGCATTAGCCATTAATGTCCTTTTCACGGAGATTGAATGACCACTCTTTAATGAAATTAACTGGCATTGCATGCATGTCTCCATCTTGCAGTAGGAATGCAGGTCGATGTAAAGGCCACAAGCCATCCATCTGTGATGGTATTTGACAGTTTCCAGGCCTGGTGCTGATAGCCGGTTCAGAGACCTGACCTGACGAGTTAAAGGGCTGCTATCAGCACCAGCTTTATCATGAGAGGCGTTTGGCCGTTTTGATCTGCAGCATGCTTGGTTTAGGAGACGTTACACCTCGGGGACAAGCTTTAGGTTTCCTCAAGAGCTGAAAGAAGAGTTAGTAGCAGACTAATGGTCTGAAAGCAACATTAGGCCATTAGAAGTCTCTTTATTTAATGTCTAAGGTCTTTGAAATCCATGAAATGGACCTTTGGTCACACTAGCCTTGTGCTAGTATGCTAAGGCTACAGTATAGTACAAAATGTAAAGTATGTGTCCAAATTTAAACATAATATGTTGCGCATTTCTGTGATATTTTTATTTATTCATTGTGTATTCCAGTCATATTTTGATTTATTGATGTTCGGTTCTTCCCGGCAAAGACAAGGAGTAAAGCATACACATTAGCTTGGCACTTCAAGTTGTATCCATGCTTTATCTATTTTATCTCTCTTGTGTAAAATGTTCCTCCTGTATGCATGCTCACTGCGATTTGAAACAGATCAACACCAGTATTCATGAGCTGTACAACCCCAGCAGAAACATGAGCACTTCAAAAATCCTTTTTTTTTTTTTCTTCCCCTCTGCCCTTTTGCTCTTGTGGGCCACTTGACCCGTGAACTCTTTTTCCCCTTCATCTTGATTTTGTTTTATGTGCTCTGGTAGATCTCTGAAAAGCCCCTTAGATTTCTCTCTGTTGGCATCCAGTGCTGCTGTAGATTGTGAGAACAAGGATAAGGAGATGAATCAGGTCTTCAAATGACCGTTGTTTTCTTCTGCCCTCACTAAATGTACAGCATGGCATGGTTTGTGAGTTAGTTCGGCCCATTTCATGGCCATTTTCTGTTTACATGCTTCTATGCTGTTTAGATGTGGGAAGCTGCTGTGGTCGTGTTCATAAATGCAGTGAAGTCATGATGATGTTTTCCTCTATTTTAAAATTCAAGTAGATTAAATCCGTGGGAATCTCAGAGCCCTGTAGCTGTGAGCAATAATCGCTCAATGAATTTGATATTTTAAACATTTTGGTACTAGTCATGCCGGGTGGCTTTCATGTATTTTTTTCTTTTGGGTTTTGCCAAGGGGTTGTCGTATTTTGTTCCACAATGAAAGTTCCCCTTCAACACAAACATTTCTGACTGTGATCACATTTCACACTTTCTCATCAATCAAGGAACAAGCATCTCTTTCCTTTTTTTTTCTTCTTATTTTGCATAAGAGGTGGCACTGGAACAACTACGTCCAGTAAATGGCCTTACCCGAACACGCCCTCCGAATATTTCTAGCCGATTTTTCCTTTTTGTCCTTTTCTCTTTAAGCTCTGCTTTTGAATCTCCAAGAGAACTGAAAGCACCCCAGCTCATAGAGGTGAATGTATCTCCTCCTCTGCCCATCTTTTGTTATGAGCGGAAAATGTAGTCCCCCTCTCCGTAAGGGGCCTTTCGAATATAATAGGGCAAAGCTTTACTGTTTCCTTGCCTCACACCAAAAACACCTCTGTTTTGTAAGAGCTTGTCATTCAAGACACTTGCTTCCCAAGGGTCGGTTAAAGGGATACATTTGTCGCTCTAATAGGTTTACCTTTGTGTCCGTGAAGGCTTTTCTTCAAATAATTTTTCCAGACATTAACCTCAAGGAAGTGGAATAAGGATGTTAGTGGCCGTTTTAGTCTTCTCAACGTGTGGTTAGCAATGGATATGTGCACATCTTAGATTTTTTTTTTTTACCATCTAGTGTTGTATCCTATATATCATAGTAGCTTCAGAATGGTTTCAGATGTTTTTCCAGTTGTAACCACACAATAGCACATGATCTTCCATACATTGTCAGACAAATAAGTTTGGGTTAACCTAAACGTTTGTCATGCTGGTTTATTTAGTCTTTGGTTTGTGGTCTTGCATTCTTTCGACATGAGCAAAAATTAACCGGGGAAAAAGAACTTTTCAGAAATTTAGTTGGATTAGCTGCTTTGAGACATGCAGAAAGCCCCTCTTACAACCAAATTGCTGTGCTTGCTGTCATTATCCTGCTGGGCTCTTGAGCACTTGATTGACAGCTCTTCAGCAGGCACCAGAAGGGCTGACGGACGAGTAGCATTTCTGAAGTAATTACAAGGGCCTCATTCAGACAGAGCAGCAGGCTTAGAGAAAGACTGCAGGCCTGAGTGGAGGCCCTGGGCCCTGCAGTCTCTGTGGTGCCATCATTAAAAAACACCCAACTAGTTCTTTTGGTTCTTCTCCCACTCACACTTGCAATTCAAAGGCCCTTTTGCCTTATTGTCTTGCCAGCATTTTTTAGGTTTTCTGGATATTTGGGTTTTACAGTACTGTTTAACATTTTAGGGTTTATATATACAGTATATATATATATATATGTATGTATGTGTATATATATATATAACTTTTTTTGTATTTTAATATACTTTAAAATGTAATTTATTCCTGTGATGGCAAAGCTGAATCTCAGCAGCCATTACACACCAGTCTTCAGTGTCACATGATCCTTCAGAAATCATGTCAGGAAAAAAAACATTTCTTATTGTTATCAATGTTAAAAACAGTTGTGCTGCTTAACATTTTTGTAGAAATCGTGATACATTTTTTCTGGGTTCTTTGTTGAATAGAAAGTTCAGAAGAACAGCATTATGCCTTCACTGTTACTTTTGGTCTATTTAAGACATCCTTGCTCAAAAAAAGTATTATTAAAAATAAAATAATTACTGACCCCAAACTTTTGAACAGTAGTGTTCATGAAGAAAAATTGTGCAAAATGTATACTCTGTCAAAATTAACATGCTCTTACATTCAGTGATTTTGATATTGCCACTTTTAAAAGACAGATATTATGTATTTTTTGTGATTATTTTATTATTTCAAAATTTTTAGGAGTTTTTCCAAATAATGTTTTAACAGTTTGCTTTAGATCAATTGCAACATCTTGTATATCCTTTTTTTTTTTTTTTTTTTTTTACTTTGATGGAAACATTTATTTAATTTTAATGTCTTTTATAATATACATATTGTACACAATAAAAAAATTATATGTAATAAAAAAATAGTTTTCTGGTTTTCTGGATATTTGGGTTTTACAGTACTGTTTAACATTTTAGGGTTTATATATACAGTATATATATATATATATGTATGTATGTGTATATATATATATAACTTTTTTTGTATTTTAATATACTTTAAAATGTAATTTATTCCTGTGATGGCAAAGCTGAATCTCAGCAGCCATTACACCAGTCTTCAGTGTCACATGATCCTTCAGAAATCATGTCAGGAAAAAAAACATTTCTTATTGTTATCAATGTTAAAAACAGTTGTGCTGCTTAACATTTTTGTAGAAATCGTGATACATTTTTTTCTGGGTTCTTTGTTGAATAGAAAGTTCAGAAGAACAGCATTATGCCTTCACTGTTACTTTTGGTCTATTTAAGACATCCTTGCTCAAAAAAAGTATTATTAAAAATAAAATAATTACTGACCCCAAACTTTTGAACAGTAGTGTTCATGAAGAAAAATTGTGCAAAATGTATACTCTGTCAAAATTAACATGCTCTTACATTCAGTGATTTTGATATTGCCACTTTTAAAAGACAGATATTATGTATTTTTTGTGATTATTTTATTATTTCAAAATTTTTAGGAGTTTTTCCAAATAATGTTTTAACAGTTTGCTTTAGATCAATTGCAACATCTTGTATATCCTTTTTTTTTTTTTTTTTTTTTTACTTTGATGGAAACATTTATTTAATTTTAATGTCTTTTATAATATACATATTGTACACAATAAAAAAATTATATGTAATAAAAAAATACATAAAATAATACATATTTTCTATTTGAAAATATGTAGCTGCCTTTTATATTCCACAAAGCTTTGATTTGAATTATTGGAGTTGGTTTCTAGCCTGTTGAACAAACAGCTAGTGTGGATTTGGGTGAGCTACCAGACCATCCCGATCAAGGGCCCTACTGGAAAAATGAGATAATACCAGTTTAAGGTGGTCAAGCTGTTTTTTACGACATAGTAGCTAGTTTATTGCTGTTCCAAGGTTAGCCAGATCCCCACCAGTTGGCCACCTAAAGCAGCTTGGCCCAGCTGCCATGTTCCAGAACACAGCTAAGCTAGTTTTAGCTGGATTCTCAAGCAGAGACTTGGAGCAAAGAGGTGCCGTCTTTCTTTTTTTCTCTTTCCCTTTGGGTCCTTCCCACCCAACATGGAGACAGGACGGGGGTGGAATCACAGATTTCAAATTTCTCTGAAAAATACGCTGAGAGCCCCTCAGGACGAGTCTCATGGGGGGGGGGACACTCTCGCTCTCTCTCTCACACACACACACGCACTCCTCGCTTTTTCAGATTGTGCAGCGGAGGGTAGAGGGCAGTCACACCTCCACGCCGAGTTGCTCTGAATGAGCCAGAAGAGGAGAAGAAAGAGAGAGACCTCCACACTATGTCCTCGTCCCTAATGAGCAAATCAATGAATCTGTCTCATTGAAGGAAGCGGGAGAGGGGCACTCACTGGACCCAGAGGACCAGGCCAAAACGCTCTCTCATATGCATGTACTGCTGCTCATGAATAGAGGCTTTATTTTGACTTAGCACAACAATATCCTGCAGCCCGTAGCCCCTCAATAAGGCAGTCTCGCATTTATTCAGCTCTCTGACCCACCTGTTTGACTACCAGCATGCCGCTGGCCACGACTATTCGTTTTTTT